TAAGTCTCTCCTCCGGCCCTCCTCCGCCCTCCCCCTCAGCCCAGGGCCCGGGCCCAGGTGAGTCACGACTGGCCTTAGGGGTCCTCCCTGCCCGGCCCGCTCACCTCCCCGGCCTCCCCGTCGGACCCCGGCTGCCCCCTGCCCTTCCCCTGCCGCCGGCTCCCGGCTCGCTGCCCCCGGCCGGCCCGTCCTTCCCACATCTGCCCGGCGCCCTGTTCTGTCGTCCCTGCGCTGAGGACCTGACACCGCTCACTTTTTCCTTTAAGATCAGGAGCGTATTACTCACGCTTCCTCTTCCCCTTCTCTGCTGAGTCCTCGGCTGGGGGACAGCCTCAGAGGGAGGGGAGAGGCCCCAGGACCCACTCCTGTGCCCCGACCCCTCCGGGTGCCCGCAGGTGAGGAGAGTGCTTCTCTGCCTCGGGTGGCCGCCTACTGGGGCTGCTACTGGAAGCCCAGTTTGGTCTGATGTGTCGTTTTCTTTGGATACCTGCAGAGGGAAGAAGTGGGTGCTGCTGGGGACCCCCACTTCTGAGGCTTTCCTGTTAGCCCTGGTAGGGGATCCTTGAAGCCAGAGGTACCTGCTCAGGCTAGGGAAGGGTGCCTTAGATCCCCGAGGGCAGCCCCGGGCCTGCCTGGCTGACGTCGTGGCTGATCCCAACTCCTGCTTGCCCCATAGATGTCGTCGCCCTCTGGTCGCCTGTATCTCCTCATCATTGTGGGCCTGATTCTCCCTACCAGAGGTAAAGCCAACCCCCTCTCTACCCTGCTTCAGAGCCCCCAGCCCTACCTCGAGTGCACTGCTGGGTGGGCAACTAGTGAGTTTGGATGCCCTGTCCTGTGCCTCACCCCCCTACTGGGCTGGCACCAGGAAGTGGGAGTCCCAACGAAGGGGCCAAGATGGTATTATTTTTGGACACCTCAGACCTGGGTAGCCGCTTCCAAGTCTGGCCAGAGCCTGTCCTGCTGAGCAGCCTCTGCTTCACCTCCTAGAAGAACTGAGTTTGACTTGGCGAGGAGATTGGTGTCGGTTTCTACTCAGCAGCCAGGAACCCAGGGCTCCCAGCAGAGCAGCTCACTGGATCCCCGGGTGATTCAGTTAGGCAAAAGGGGGGAGTCAGGGTCAGTCCCAGAGCTGGAGATGTCTCCCCTTTGCCTGGGAAGGGCTTCCTGAAGACAAAAGCTAAGGTGGCATTGGCAGGTGCTCACTACTTAGCGGTGCGTGGGAGGGTGCGTGGGACCTGCAGTTGGCTTCAGCTTTACTCTGTTATATTATACATATTGCCCCGCCTGCTTTAAGATGAGGAAATAGGCTCAGCGAAGGGAAGTGCCTGTGCCAGAGGCTCGAGTGGAGGGGCTGGGATCCAGTCATCCTGCCTGCCCCCAGAACCCAGAGCATACTCTCCACTGGCGGCTGCAGTTCTCTTGGATACAATGGTTTTCATGTGTTCCTTCAGTCATTCAAGTATTCATTGAGCAGCTACTATGTGCCAGACCTTATCCCATGCACTGTGGAAACAGCAGTGTATAAAATAGCTCACGTTCTATTTGGGAAAGACAGAAAATAAATAACCCATCAGTAACTGATACAGTATGCTAGAGGGTAATACGTGTTATGGAGAAAACCAGGACAGGAACGAGGATTGTTTGAATAGGGTGGTCAGGGAAGACCTTACTGGGAGGTGACATTTGGGCAGACACTTGAAGTCGATGAGCGAATGAGCCAAACAGGTATCTGGGGAATGCGCGAATCTGGTGAATGTGGGCAACAGCAGGCAGGCCAGGTGGCTGGGTTGGGGTGAACAAGAGGCAGGATGGGAAAAGGAGAGGTTAGAGAGGTGACAGGGACCAGATGGAGGGGGACTTATGGGCAGGGTGAGGATTTTAGCTTTTACCAAGT